CCGGGGGTTTGTGGCCCGGGCCCGGGGCGGGGGGGAGCCCCTGGCACGGCCCGGGAGCAGCTCCCGGCTCCGCGGGCAGCAGCTGGAACAGCCTGTCGCTGGGATTCCTGTCACAGCTGAGGCCTGGAAACAGCCCTTCCCGGGCTCGCTGGGCAGCCTGAAGATGCTCCTGCTGGCTGGAGGGCTCCTCACACCTGCTGGGGGCACAGGGTCTCCTTCCCACGCTGCTCTCCTGGGCGCTGAAGAAATCCAAGGGCTCAGCAAAGCCCCGCTCGTGCCGGGGCTCCCCCCCAAGCCCCCCCCCCAAGCTGCTTGTTTCCATCATCTCTGGGTTCCACTGAGTGTCCCACGTCACTCCGGGGCTTGGATCCTTGGAAAACTTCTCTGCAGCCCTTCCTGGAGGCTCCGAGTCACCCACTGTGCTTTCAAAGGCATCTGCTGGAGGGTCCCTCCTGGGGTTTGCATCGTGCACTGAAACAGAGAGATTTGAGAGCCTCACCTGGGGAAGCTGCTCAGGAGCCTCCCCCAGGGCTGCAGGCACAGCAGGGACAGAGAGGAGCTGAGCTGGGGGCTTTAAGCTGAGAGGAGAGCAAGGACAGAACATGGAATCACAGAATTGTTTGGGTTGGAAAAGCCCTTTAAGGTCATGGAGTCCAACCCTTCCCCCAGCCCTGCCCATTCCCCACTGCCCCATGTCCCTCAGCACCATCTCCAGGGCTTGGAAACCCCTCCAGGGATGGGGACTCCCCCCCTGCCCTGGGCAGCCTGGGCCAGGCCCTGACAACCCTTGGCAGGCAGGAATTGTTCCCCAGATCCAACCTCCACCTCCCCTGGCACAACTTGAGGCCGGTTCCTCTTGTCCCATCCCTTGTTCCTGGGGAGCAGAGCCCGACCCCCCTGGCTCCAACCTCCTCTCAGGCAGCTGCAGAGCCAGCAGGTCTCCCCTCAGCCTCCTTTGCTCCAGGCTGGACACCCCCAGCTCCCTCAGCTGCTCCTCCCAAGTTCTCCAGCCCCTTCCCCAGCTCCTTGCCCTCCTCTGGAAGGAGCTGGGTGGAGCTGACCCAGCCTTACACCAGGGCAATATCCTGGATGACCTTTTTCTGTGGGGCAAAGTCATTCCCATTGGCAGCTCCCAGCATCCTGAGAGGTTATCCCTTGGTTGACTGCATCCCAACTTCATCACATGCCCAGGAATGAGTAACTCCAGGAGGGAAGGAGCTCCAGGCATGGAGTACCAGAAATGCTCTAAACCAAATTTGCCACCCCAGAAATCTCAGCTGAAACCCATCCCTGACCTGTACTTGAGTCTGCAGAGATCTCTTCTTTCTCCAAGTCCTGCTCCGGGCAGCGTGGCTCCTCCTCTTGTTTAATCCATGATAGAACATCAGTTGCATAAGCCTGGAATCCTGTTCGTGGGGGGGAAATTACACAACTGAGACACACGGGAGAGAGACGCAGGATGTGGGAACTCACAGAGAGAGGGAGGTGCTGACAAAGCCTGAGGGAGGCCATGAGGAGCCAACCTGAGGGGTAATTCCTGCAGTGGGTGTTTTTGCCAGGGAATCCTCACCTGTGTCAGGGTCTCTTGGGAAGTCCTGGCTCTCCATGCCTGGCAGCTCCCTGGGATCCACCTCTTGGCTGTTCCTGGCCTGACTTGAAGCCTCAGGCTCATAAAATGTTTCCTCTGCTAAAGGAGAAAACCCAAAACAAGCCCATCAGACCTGTGCAAGCTCAGGATTCCACAAGGGTGAGACCTGCTCTTGTTTTGCTGTTTCCCATCAAGCCAAGTTCCCCCAAGCCCAGTTTCTTAATGAAACCTGGATGGAAAGGTCTAAAAATGCCAGTGTGCTACATGCACTGGAAGGTAAGTAACGTGAGAGCAGAGCCTACAGGGAGAGCTGCTCCCCTTGGTGAAGGGTGAGGCCAGCCAAGCTCCAGCATGGAAAGCTTCCTCTGTAAGGAAAAGAGGCACCACCAAGTGAGGAGGCAAGAAACAGCCCCCCTGGGCTGTGTCACCTCCCCACACAGCGACAGCACGCGCTTCTGGAGGCAGAAAATCCACAGAGGAGAAGGGAGGAGGGAATAAAGACAACCTGCCACCTCTGGGTATGAGGGAGGAGAGGCACTGAGGTCCCTGCAGGAGGAGGCTGCAGGGGATGTGGAGCTGAGGAGCTGCCACAGCTGCTCCAATTCACATGCAGCTGGTGGCACCGGCCATGGAGCTCGTCCTGGCACCGGCTTCTGCCTCCTCCAAATGGACCCTCTGGCCTCTGAAAGTGCCTCGTGGCCCCCTGTGCACCAGATACTGAACCAGCTTAGAGCTGCCCACTCAGGCTGATACTATCAAGTCAGGAAAAGAAAACATTCCCTGTTCCCTGCTGCACTGCTGGGGTGAGAACCAGCCCCTCCGAAGCGGCTGCGCGGG